TGTCCTTACAATAAGAGAAAAACAGGCTCCTGAAATCTGATTGGTCTATTTTTGGACCAATCAAATGGCAGGATCCTATTTTTCAGTGATGGGATGAGTGGGGACCCCTACATATACCCATCAATCGATAGAGCATCCTGGATTACCCTGTGTTTGGCCCGAACATGCCCATCGCTTTCCCTTACAATAAGGGAAAAAAATTTGAACCCCCTCGGGTACCCCTATAATAGGACTTAAGGAGCCAAGGGTACCCCCCAATAGTATAGGACCTAAGGACCTAAGGCTACTCGTATAATATAGGTCTTGAGGATCCAAGGATACCCCCACAGTATGGGACTGAAGGACGTAAGGGTACCACAATAGTATAGCACTTGAGGGCCTAAGAGTATCCCTATAGTATAGCACTTGAGGGCCTAAGAGTATCCCTATAGTATAGCAGTTGAGGGCCTAAGGGTATCCCTATAGTATGGCATGACACAAACACTTGAACTTTAAAGAAAAAGTTAAAGTTAAAGTGCTAAAATTTTTACTTTAATTAAAGTTTAAAGTGTTTTTAAAGTTAAAGTGCCACCCCTATATAAGATACTTTTTTAAAAAAGCGAAAAAACATTAAACTAAAAGATTCTGAAGTATTAACTTTAGATTTGAATTCCTCAACCTCGAAAATTTCAGATTGATTTTTGACCATTAACCCTATCACAAACACATACACAAACATATTTTATTGTACATGGTCCTGTCTTCAGTCCAGAGAACAAATTAGCTTTTTATCTGTTTAGATATATCTGAATAATAGATTCAAAGATAAGTTCTAACTTATGAGATGAATTTTTTTTCTTTATTTAGGTATATTCTCGTTCTCGTACAGAAGAGTCCAGTAAGCATAAATTGTTTGTTTGTTTGCTTGTTTGTGTGTCCGCATTCCACTGATTGGTGCAAAGATAATGTGACAACAAAAATACCTTTTTCGTTATAAAGTTTGATTAAAGGTTTTCGGGGTCGAGGAATCGATTAGTGATGTTAATTTTTCAGACTTTTTTACAATTTTTTTGGTAAAAAAGAGGTTTTTAGCAGAAAAAGCTTTTTTTTGTAAAGTTTCACCAAAGGTTTTGGGCGCTGAGGAATATTTCGACATGAAAGTTCTGCAAATCAGACCTTTTCCTGTTCAAGATGCTGAACTGGAACGTCTCGATGAACTTAACAGAAACACACAGCGACAGTGCATTTCCTTCGATTTTTGAAATTCTATAAATAAATAGTTTGCTGATTGTTCGTAAACACTTTCTACAAGAAAGAACTGAGCGAGTCCTCGGACGAGCGTTACCTGTGCCAATAACCTATTCAATACAAACTTTAGCGTTACAAAGTTCACTAATGGTTTTATCTATTTAGGTATAGAAGAATAATCAATTCAAATGCAAGTTCAGTCTTAAAATATACTTTAATTATTGTTGTCTGTTTAAGAACGTCTAACCAACAGGAACTTTGATGCGCTTTTTGTGTGGATAGAGGAGTAAATACCTGCTCTTACTCTAATTGCGGCAAATCTAGATAATATATGATAGATGAAGAATTTAGGAGTTACGGGTAGAAATGAAGTGTTTGATGAAAAATCAGTCAGCAATACTAGACTAAGAGTATCAGATAGACTGCTTTTTACTAGGATAGAACCATTTTTAGAAGAAAAACAAGCAAGACTGAGACAGAATCATATTTTCTAGAACTTAAAAATGTTTAGACAATGGCACTCAAATCTAGAATCATAGAAAATTTAGTGTGATACCTTTTTTTACAAAGTATACAAGCCCCGAAAATAAAATATCCTGAACATCTTTCGATACTCGATCACAAAAACAAAAAAAGATGTTATTATCCTCTATATAATCTTTTCAGACATCCACTCACTATCATCAACGCTACATACCTCTCACTGAACCACCACAATAATATATCTGACCATCAGCACAATTCCAGCAATGTTGCATATCCAGAATTGTGGAGATGCCACCGCATATCCCGAATGTGGATGCCGCGTGTGTCGTTGGAGACGTGCCATCTTCTGCGGGAGATGCGGTGGCATGTCCAAAATCCTCAATATGTGACATCACTCTGAACACAATCCAAAGAACTATGCCATTGAGTCTGAGTACTATATAACCCAAAGTTAACACAGTACATTGCACACTTGACTCATCTTCACCCTCAAGTCGAAATACGGATCTTAGCAGATCTCATATTTTACTCACTCCCTTCTCCTCAATTCAGGAAGAGATTTTTGAAGTATATGCAGATTCTTTGGCATTAAATGATTCTTCCTTCGGCTGGTATGAAATTGCGATTTTGGCAGTCATTTGTTACAACTCTCCTTTGTTCGCGATCAAAAAGATCATTCCAACCGTGTCAGATATAAAGATGAAGTCATCTGAATATTTCTGTAGCCGGGATAAAATAGCCATAACCCAGATCAAAAAAAAAGCAGACGCCAAATCATACAAGATCCGAGCTTATAGGATGCATTGATTTTTTGTAAGATTTTATCAGAATCTGAATAAAGGATGTCAGCAGAAATCTTGCCAGAATGGCATGAACAGGCTTGTACACGAACAGCTATGTCGACACCAGCCTCGTCAGATGAATTTCGTTATGAAGAAAACATGCATGGTCCCAAAAACACGAATCGTGCAGTTATACAAGACCGGCTGTGAATGTCCGTTCGAAAATGCTCATCCATTGATTTTGCACGATTATTCTAGAACTGAAAATTGTTAAGAGCAGTTTTTATTGCAAAACCAAACATTTATTTCAGTCTTTACACACAAGTATATACGTCGATAAAGAAAAGAAAGTTTAACAAGTATGCATCCTTTTGAATGCTCACGAATAGCATCGACGAGATGTGAAAACAAGAATATAATTTCAAAGGAGAACGTGGCTGTTCAATGATCGATCGTGATGGATTACTTAAGCGAACATACCCAGCAGTTATCCAAGGAATGATGCTGAGTTTTAGTGACGTAATCAACTAAATTTTGATGTGGCTGAGCTCTTCTGCAAACAGCTGAGCCACGTTAAAAATAGCTTCAGCTTCATCTACAACCATAACTGTAACTACTAAAGAGACTGCTTGACAGCAATAGACAAAAGGATATAATGATAAGAAAGTAGAGATATAAGTAGAGATAAAGGAGCGTGGGCGAAAAGCCATCGAGATAGCTAAAGGGATGCAGGTAAAATAATAGTTAGAGGATATAAGTACAACGCTTTGGCATAGAGCTGCAGCCTACCGACAGTGGATTATAGGCTTAAGGGTATGGGCACCGGATATAAGTATAATACTATATTCATAAGAATGTGGATAAGAAGTTATATCTATATGGCTATATTTATAATGGTATACCGATTAGAGTATGTATAGGATGGTATTTTTCATGGCTGTTTTACGGCAAGAATGCAGTGGAAGATTGTGTACATAGTTCGCTCTATGTGACAAATTTGAAAGTTGGTGAGATATACGTCTTCGCGTTGGTTAAAGTTATTATATAACTTATAAATAAAGGGAAATGGTCGCTTTATATTGTATAACTCACCGTAAAAAGCGATGAAAATGTGGTGAAATCAAAGTCTATAATATTGTATGGTCAAACAAGATCCTATTGTCGTATGGTATACGAACATTGCTGCAATTATTGCCGTAAGCTTTCCGAAACCATAACTTTGCATACGATCTTCCGT